TGTTGTCATTTGTAATCATCAAAATTAAACGAAATAAACATTTGAAATATATGAGTTTGTATGTAATGTATGAATATAATATACAAGTTTCACTTGTATAGTGCCTGTGCATATCTTTCAAATACAAAAAGTCAAAGAAAACCTTATATTTATATTTCAGAAACATGGCATAAAACACAGGATTTTACCCATTTTGTCACATAACCAGGATACTATCTTTTTAACTTGGCTCAGCCAAAGTGAAACAGGAAGTGACATCAAAGTTGAACTCTTTACGAAAAGGAATTCTCTAGTCTTTAATTATTGAAACAATATTATTTGAACTCTGATGCTTCTTCATGTCTCTGATACAGACTCAAAATAATCTAAAGAAACAACAGATTCTTCTCTACAATCTGTCATTGTGCAATGCTCTATTCACACTCAGACATTCCTCTTTGACATCACTTCCTTTTACTTCACATGCAAATATTTCAACAGCTGTTTATCTCAGTGCTGTAAAATGTTATTCACATTATAATATTGATGTTATCTTTCCAAAAATGCATTCATTTTTATTACAAAAAACAGATATCACAGGCACTTTAATATTACCTACCACCAAAGTTTTGCCTGTATCTGTGTTTGTCTGTTAGAAAAGTATCTCACCAATCACTGCACAAATTTTAACGAAGGTTTTATCAACTCTTATTTGATGTTCATTTACAACTGATTCATTTTTACTGACAATGTCATTTAAAATGTCCACCACAGCTAAGCAACCTTAGCAAATAACCTGTGGTAGCAGCTGAGCATCTTCTCCAACACATGCTAGAACTACCACCATTTCACACTATTACGTGAATTTACACATAACCTGATTTACAAGGTTTGGCCAAACTGACCACAACTCATTTGTCAGCATAAGATGATCTTAATTTAAATTGCAGACGTAAAAGATGGTGGATGAAATGCATTAGTTCAAAGAATACTTGACCTTTAGTTTAGTCTGAATTGTTTATTCAGGGATAGTGTACTTCAACAGAGGATAGCTTTGAGGAATTTCATCTCAACTGTAAAGTGATGTGTATTTTCTTTGAAATGAAGCTAAAATGCTCGTTTTTTAAACTTTGGTCAAATTTTTATTTATACAAGGTTGGATTTTTTTTCTTAAACGCATTTATGTTTGTTTGATCATTGTTTCCCTTTAAATTTTTGTTATTAAACCTTTATTTTACCAGGAAAAAATCCCATTGAGATGACACACCTCTTGTCCAAGGGAGTCCTGCAGGTCAAGATAGGGAGAAGTAAGTACAATTAAGCTGCACTGTTTTCAAATACAAAAAGAAAATATGAATCATAAGAACATGAATCACATTTAAAAGGAATTGCACAAGTGCTGTATCTACTCAGTATCAATTTAAAAGCTGTAAAACATACAAAGTCTGTTCATTTCTAGTCATTCTGCAACATACTCATGCATAAGTTGCAGAATAAACAAAAAGCTTTTTATATGTAGGCAAATGGAACTGAAAGCAACAATTGAATGCATTTGTTAGTTTTGTATGAATTATCTATTTGATTCTATTGTAAAACCCTTGGGTTTTCTTAAATACATTTTACCTGTTTTATCAGCAAAAAGCTTTTAGAACAAAACACATTTTAAAGTAAGCTTCCACCTTTATTCATCTTCTGAACACTGACACATTGTTTATTCTCATAAATCACATGAGAGCAGATCAACAGGTTATTTTTTTCCCTCCATCTATTTCTACTTGAGCTGAGCAGTGACGAGCCACCTCCACCCATCCAGGGGTTCCAGTTTCTTAACTCTCCTCTTATGAGAAGCTGCCACCGACCAATCACAGTCAGCCACAGAGAGAGAGAGAGAGACAGACAAAGAGAGAGAGAGAGAGCAAGAGAGAGCGAGAGAGAGAGAGAGAAGCAGAAGTAGCAGCGACTCACAGGTGGTTTGTTTCCAGGGAGCTCACTCAGACAGAAACGGGTTCTCCATCGTTCCGTTTTCTTTGCTCCAGACCTTTTCTTGCAGCTACTTTAAATTTTTATTAGACGGAGAAGCTTTGATCTTTAGGAGTACAGTTTCTGCTTGCTGTGCAACCTGCACACACTTGCCACAATGGGCCTTTTCACATTAACCCTGCTGCTTCTTGCTTTTGGTGAGTAATATTTACCCAGTAAACATACTGTATGTGCAATGCTGCATTTCTCAGTAGTGTTAAATCATGAGCTATAGAAAAAAAGCTGAGCATTTATTCTGTAATGGGTTCATATGTGATTGATAGTTTGAAGTTACTAAACACTCGTTACTCAAAAGCACAAACCAGTGTGGCTGTGATTTAAAGTTCAAAGTTCAAAGTTATTGGTGACTTTTTTTTTCTAAAAGGAAATGCACTCAGATTTGATCCCACAGACAGAAAATCTACATGTTGGTAGCTAAATTGTCCCTATAGATGTGATTAATAAAATAAATGGATGAAAGCAATATGAGCAAAATCAGTCTTTAGCTTTGACTTTTAGAAAAGCTTTAAGTCAGTTTTTAAAGTGTGATTACAGTCAACACTGTGAAAGTAGCATTTCCACTTTTATTTCTCTCGCCCTCACTGATTCTAAAGAACTGAAAGTTTCAGTTTTGAGAAGTTATTGAGAATCAAAACTGTGATTTAGTTTTTTTTTTTTTTTTTTTTTTTTTTTTTTTGTATACACCACCTGGTCAGGTTTCAGACCAGCAGACCTGTTTTCCTTCTGTGGTTTGTATTTTCACAACAGTGCAGTCATGAGGTGATCATGCTTCTAGACACTGTTGCTTCATTGAAATAACCTTACATCTTTTCCACAAAAGTAAAACACTTGTTCATGCAAGATGAAACTTACTCCAAATAGAATAACTACACTGGTTAAAACCTGGTGTGTTCTGTGAACAGAAGATAACTTTATTTTATTTTATTTTTAAGTATGGACTTTGCAATGCTAACATCTTTTACTTACTGGACATAAGTATTTTGTTTTACCCAGCATACCTTTATAAATAATAGAAAAGGGGAAAATTCTCCTGTTTTTCACTGCAAATAATAAACCCATTACAGCATTTATGCATGACTTGTTCAGAATTTATTTTAAGTTACGGTAAAGATCACCTTATCTTTATTGCAAATGTGTTCATAATCATTTGAACTTATCTGTGGTTTTGCTGCCACTACTGTAAGTTGCCTCAGCAATGCAAACTTAAAATAAATAAATAAATAAATAAATAAATAAATTTTATTTAAGAACATTTTTTTATTCTTCACAATTTTTTTTCAGAAATCTGTTTAAAGAGATTTGGTACACTCCACTTTGTCAAACTTTCTAATCACTTTCAATAACTTTTTAACACTTTTGACCTTTTTTAAGATTCACTTTGATGATGCTTCAGCTTTGTAGCTCTTTTATTGTTAATTTTAGTTAAAGTTATTTTCCTATTTTAATGTAATTATAAAACCTTTCTTGATATAATAATGACAGTAGCAGACTTCATTCACACACACACGCGCACACACACGTTTGCACAGCTTTCCATTTGGGGACATTCCATTACATTCCTACAGCCTCTGACCACATACCCTAAGGCTAACCTCACAGGTAGCTGAGTGAAGCTGACACCCCACCCACGTCAAAAAATTCATCAAATAGTCAGAATGGTTAGTGCTCCGT